AATACCGCCAACCTAGTAGCAGAGATCGCTCATCCTAGAGTGTTGAACAAATATTATGCGATGGTAACGCGGCTATTTCATCTTTATGAAAACGCCGGTTAGCAATGTCGATTGTTTGCTCTCGCGAATGAGGAAGTTTTCAATTTGCTATTGCCCTTTCAGTAGCGTAGCCGACTGGGATTTTGAAGGTACAACGCCTCCATCTTCCAAGCCTTGAAACTTTCTATAAAAACAGATTCAATTTTAAAATAAGTTTTGGTCGTAAGAACTGTTTAATTCAATTCTTAAAAGCTTTAAAGCGTCGAAAGTTATCTCAAAACTTTTACAGTATCAAAATTCTTTCGTGCGTGCATACGACCGCACCTTTATACCGAGGCAGTTCAAAAATCGGATTAACAAAATTTATTTTGGATCATCATAGCAGCCGCAGGGTCTCGGCATTTAGGCTTCACAATGACTTCATATTTCAAACTCAAGGCACTGCGGCTGCTATAAGGAGCTTAAAGAAACGTTATCCTGCGAAAAACCTCCTCGTCTAGATTGTTCCACCCTAGGGGTAAAGGAACGGTCGTATGGACCAGTTCTGGATGTACGAAGTTCGACAAAGTTAACACATCTGCCCGAAGTCAGGCGGGTCTGTCTGGCAGAGGCACATCGCGCGGCGGCATCATGGAGAAGAACTCTGAGTAGCAAAGCCCGTTGACATAGCGGCTTGTAAGGCAACACTGTAAGGAACTTTGGCCTTCAGAAACACCGTACAATAAAGATGCATTTTCAACATACTCGTATTTTGTGGTTTGATTGGCCATATAAACTTGGGGGATAATATACTATTTGATGCCACTTCCAAATTAGTGTACCGTGATTGATGTACTCGTAAAGTACAAAGCTACAAAGCATTCGAAAAGTGTCGAATTTTGTTCACCAACAAATTGGGCAAAATAAACAAGATATGAGAAAATAAATTCTTTGAGTCTATGAAAGCCGCGTGGAACAAAATCTTACTAAGATCTCTTTCTATTAGTCTTCTGGTCGTTAACAATAAACGTGTATAGAACATTTAAATATAACTTATATATGAAGCACGAGTTCATTGCTTTACAACCATGTTGATATCCCTTAGTTTATTTAGTGTGCATTGTTCTTGAACCGGTAAAGATCAAATGCTACGGTTGGTAACGCACTTAAAAACTAATAAATTCAGCGGTAAAATATCACATTTCCGTTGCTAGGCTTATTGTTAGAGTATTGTTCAATAACACCAGGTGTTCAACACCTAAGGGATTTTTAGTGATTGATAAGAACGGCGTATTTTAACCTAACAATAAATGATACAATCTGAATTCCTAATAATAAGACTATTTTTGATAGTCCCCTCACGAGCTTTGTGCAAACGAGAGAATGGCGTACATTGACTTCTCACACAGTTATGGACAAATCACTCAAATTTGTTATGTCCTGGAGGCTCATACTACTAGTAAATTTCTGAATAATAAAACGTCTCCCACTGATACCAAAAGCGCAACGTTTCTAACCACCAGCCCCTGCAGCCCCCAATTTTTAACCTCTATAAAAATGTTTCTTATAATGGTCAGGAGACTTTGAAACGTTAAAAAACGAAATTCGAGCGATACTTATTTTTTATTTTTTTGCCCCTAGCTCCGCCGCTACTGAATCGATTTTCAAAAGCGACAGCACTTTATTGTCCTTAACATAGTAGTAACCTTGTGTGAAGGTTTCATTGAAATCGGGCAGGTACTTTTAAAATTATAGCGGGGCGAAGACAGAAGACCAACTATATGTGATGCAGTTTCATACTTTTTAGCAATAATTAGTACGATATAGATCGTGTCTTGGCAGCAGTCATTCTTTGCTCACTTTTATAAAGGAATCTTATAGCAATTTTTTAACTTCAACCTTATTGAAATCTCTTGAAAACTGTATAGACATTCAGTAATACATATATTTATACACACGTACGTGATCCTGTTGTCGACACATCCGCCTATGATCGTAGAGAGGCGCACGGAGAGAGTCTGAGATATAAGGGAGGCACATTGAGTATCGCGCACAAACGCTGAAAACAACTGCTTGAATTATTCGCGTCTTTATCGATCTATAACAATTCTTATAATTACAGTAAAATTACCTCAAACTAAGAAAAATTCGCATAAGCTCCGGAATAGGAACCATTTTAAATATGGCGTTTGGCGTTTCTAATTTTAGCCTTTGGCCTTTGTATGTTTAACCGACAAACAGAAAATAGCTGCACCTCTAATGCATTTCTCCTAACGCGCTTCTTGTACAGCTGTCACTTGAGAGACACAAACTCGTCAACAAATCCAAAAATACAGTCCTGCGAAGACTCGTACGGACTAGGAAGTTTGACTGCCGAGGAAATCTACCTATGACTATTTAAAGGTCCCTTAATGGCCGTGCCTAATTTTGGAACAGTTCAAAGCGTCCAAATAATAAATTAGGGATATTCGAAACGGTAAATGTGCCGTTCGAATCTAATTATACGTTACGTAAATACGTATGAGAAAGTAATGAGATTTATACGCCGTAGTCAAACTATCTCAATAAAATGATGCCATGGATTGTAAATTATTCGACTTACGACGATTAGTTAGTGTTGCTTTTATTTATTGGTGATACCATGTAGCAAGGATCTAAAAATAAGGTTTTGTCACGTGGTACATCACGAATCATCATAATCTCTAATTCATCATTACGTACATAAAACAACGTAATAACATTTTATGAATAAATCAGTAAACCACATAATTGGCAAGACGAGCTTGGTATCAATAAATCTCTTCTCTTGTGGTGTACCCCATAAGAATTGGAGGTAGTAATGCAGCTGTGCATTTGCAAATAAAGTATTTTATGCACATTTTTTTAATATAAACGTACAAAACAGCATAAAAAGAATATATGAGTCAAGATAAAGCTTCACCAGGCTATAATTATTATGGTTTGAATAGTAAGATTGAACGTCTAGGGTTACCTGTCCAACTAAGCTTCGCCCTCAAACAGTATACATTTTTTATGTTGTCTATTCGTTTGGGTTTCGGTGTTCGTATAACGTTTCACGCTTTCGTTGTATAGATCCCGAAAGGAAAAACCATTAATCTAAATAAATCGCAGCCTGGTCGTGCTGTGAAAAATTCAACAAAATCTGAATAGACAGCATTCATTGGTAGTCTGGTTGTGATAGGCTTATACTTGGAGATGTCCCTTATGTGGTTTCTCCAAAGACTCGTTACAATATTCAGATGAGTTTTTTCATTAGCCACCATATCTGGAAAAATATTGCACACACAAAAAAATTGTTAGGTAAAAGTTGCAGGATTTTGAAAGAATAGTTGAATACTCATTTAAAGGTCAACTTGAAAAGTTTAAATGAGCCGCACCTTTTTGACCCTGCCTATGGATAAACGAACTTTTTAAATGCTTCATTTACTTCAAACGTTCATATATTGTAGTTGAAAATTATTACTAAAAAACTGCAAAAATTTTACATCACCCTGATTTAAAAAACAGGTGCCAGAACAGGATGCCTTGGATAAAATTTCAATTAGCAGTGAAAAATTTATTCTCAAGGAAGGATGCAGAATATATTTAGTGTTGATTGAGAGCTGATCAAAGCTTTAAAGATTTCAAACGAACAATAATGCACCTTTTAGTGCTTCTCAAGTGGTTAGATTTTGCATTTCCATTTTATAGTAGACTGTTTTTAAATTGAAAGCTGCTTAGATTGCCGGTCTTGACTAAATTGTAACTGTTTCAACTTCGTAGATTTTTAAATTCATTTTGTGGTCTGCTAATATCTGACAGATGCCGCTAGTATCTTTCAGATTCCTTTTTGTGAACCGGAATACGGTATATTGTATATCTTCAGGTGGCATTCGTTAACTAATCGAATAGGACAGCAAAAAGCGCCATCTGTCACCAGAATCAACCACTGCCAAAGTCTATAGCAGCTATCGGTTGGAACTGTAAAGATTTCAGTTCGCTTTTGATGGCTGAATCACCACTGCGATCGCCAAAGGCTAACGATTCTGGCGGTATAGTAGATGGGGCCGAGTCGCCACGTGCTGGCTTATTTCGACATATCTCATACCTCGGAGAGAAGGCAGTTACTTTGCTTTCGTTCGTTGCCCCAGAGACCAAGCCTAGACCATGATGATGAGTTGCCAAAAAGCACGAAGCAGCTGTACATAGATGGCTATCTGAGGTATTGCGGACAAAAGCAGCATGTTTAGTTTATTCAGTGGCAAGTAGATGACTAAAAAACAATATCAGTTTCTTTTTTGTCAGAAAATGCATTTTTTCTTCAATCGTAACTTGTTAATAAATAATAGTACAGCTCTAAAATTGTATGTGAATACTTCACTTTTATGCATTTTCTGTTTTCAAAAAATCTTTCCATTTCTTGAAAACTCAATTTTCCGCAAAATAAGGTTTCATGAAAATAAAACAGATAAGTATAAAAGTAATTACCCGCTCAATTCTAATACGAAAGTGAAATTTTGACATACAATTTCAGAGCTGAACTAACATTTGTTAACAAGTTACGATTAATGAAAAAATGCACAAAAAAAGCTGAAAACATTGTAGTTTAGTGATCTTTATACACACACCATGAAATAATCAGATGAAAAGGATTCAGAAAACTGCTCCAGTTGAAAAAAGGGACATACGACCTCTAATAAATGACAGTATTCAAAGATATTAAAGTTTCCTTGAAACTCGCTGTGGGAATCTCCAAGCTTCAGCCTAAAAGAACCATCCTGCAGCTGCTTTGCGGCGCCTTATCACCAGCACTAATCAATAAACCGTTTCAGAGGTCATTAACTGGGACACAAAGACCGATAAATAATGTCGGCTGCGCTCTGCGATCTAAATCAATCCTTCTCTAACTGCTCGTGATTTATCCGCAACAAGGAAAAGCGCGAGGAAAAACACAGGGAAACATCGCCGAGCTTCGCGGAGCAATGGCGACCATTTGTTTTCGACCTCCCCCTCTGCCCCCAAGCAGGAAATCGCCCAATCAGGTGAGTTGAGTTTCGAGGGATCTAGAGTGTCATGCGGAGTTCAAATCAGTCAGACATTTTTATCGATAATGGACGTGCGAAAATTTCATATTCGTGGGAGAAATTTTCCTATTTGATTTTTGCCATAATCGTAATTGTTGGATGCAGATGTTTCCAGGTATTAAATCCGCTACAAGTTTGTTTGAAATTTTAATTGGCGAATTACAGAAAATAGTCTTTATTCCACTGCTAATTTGAGAAATCTCCATTGTATCACATTTCTATAAGTCTAGGAAGGTAAATAATCATAATGAAAAAAGACAAAGGTATTCATGTAGGGCATTTTTGGCTTGTTGGGTATAATTATCTCTGCTATTATGCCCTTTATTTATTTTAAATATAACAAATAATAAATGTTCACTACATTATAACTAAAATTATTGTTATGGATTGCAAATTCCATGTTACTTGATAAATTTGTAAATTTGAAAATACACCGTCCTTTGGAAGAGATTTCATGTGATTTATTCGTACAATGTTGCTGGGCGAGAAAATTCTCAGATATGCCATATTTCAAAGTCTAATCAATTTAAAATAAGGTGTTTATTGACGTTCTTATAAAAATGATAGCCTTCGTGTTGTAAGCAATTTTAAATTAAATAAACTAAGCGCCAAATACGGGACCTTGTAGGGGAAAGTGTGAACTTTAATTAAGATACTTAAAAACCTAAAAAACCCTTATAAAGTATTCGTCTAGGTGATCCATAGAAGACTTGTAGATGATGAAAATACTTTTAAAAAGGGACTTCATATGTCCAGTTTGATACAGCGGTTACACCGCTAGACATATCGTAGGAGATAACATGAAAAACCCCGAAAAAATTGCTGACAAACATATGTTTTTAGAAAATGTTGTCCATATTTTTCCGCTTATTACCCACAACAATGGATTTCAGTTTTGGCAATTATTATTGGTAAACATAAATTTGAAAGTCGGTGATATTTGGAATAAACAATTAACCGTTACATCATACATCATATTGAACAAGCAAAGCCTCATTTTGAAGCTATTTTTATGTTCCACGACTTTGTTCTATTGCACTTTTACCAATACTACAGTTTTCTGAATATACGGTATCTTTGACCTGCAAATAAAAAACGTACCCAACAGAAATGTTTGTGTCTCTAGATAAAAAAAAAGTTTCGTTTACCTTTCAGAATATATTTATACTGTAAAATCTATCTACGTATTTTTAGAATCAAAATAAGTCGATTGGAGATGATTTACGTCTGTGCAAAAGTGCTTAGTTTGTACGTTAGAAGAAATCAATTTCTTTTTGAAACACATATTTTAAGATATTTTTGGAGCCGATAGTCCGATTTGAATGAAATTTGGAACAGGTATTTTGCTAGACACGATCTAATATTTGACTTCTACGAAAAACTCTAAACCGTTCAAAAAAGATAAAAACTACCGTCACCCCTACATAAATTATAACAAAATTTTTTGGCAACTTTCTCGGCGATTTTTTTATTCTTATTAATTCTTTAAGTGTAGTTAGCAAAAATAAAAAAGTGCGACCTTACGCATTACAATTTTATTTTATACAGGCAATAGTGCGAATCTTCCATAAACGGTGTTCAATATGACCACCACTTTTGCTCCTGCATATAATATAGCGCAACAAATTTTAACGCTCGATGTAAAAAGAAAACTATGCGACATGTCCTAATAGGATCTTTTAAATAAATAAAAATAAGAGTTGTTGGGAGAGTTGCGAAAAAGCTGTTCTATAATTTATGCAGGGGTCCGATAGTTTTCACCGTTCTAGAACCCTTTCGGGTTTTTCTGTGATATTCAAATATTAGGACGTCTAGAAAAAGACATGTGTTCCAAATTTCATTCAAATCGGATTATCGGTTCCAAAAATATCTGAAAAAATGTCGACTTATTTTGAGTCTGAAAAAAACGTGGTAGTTCTATGTCCACGGAGTATTGTGACACCATGTATATATTTTTTCTGAAATTCTAGATATCCTAATTTGAATGACCGTTTTCAAGATCTTTCGGACTTCAAATCAAAAACGGTCAACCTTATACCAAAATTACTATGTACCTTTGTTATTGAGAACGATCCAAAACTTTGCCTGGAACAAAAAAAACCTTTCTTGTAAATTGTTTTTCACTGGTTTACAGGACAATAACCTAATGAATCATTAACGTAACTCCTAAAACTTATCCTGTGATTTTCGTGTTCATAGGACTCCATTCTCTTACAGAATCATGTGGTTCAGGTTGGGTCAGAAATAGTGATAACAAAAAAAAATTGAATTGGAAAATTTCTTCCAGGAATGCCAGACCTTCCTTCCGTCTATATAATTTTTATTAAACCAACAGTGGACAGTGGTTTTCTTCAAAATCAATTATGAAATTGGTGCGTTGACGTGTGGCAATCCAAACCATATTCATTCCATTCTTTCAACTATTGTTCGTATCTGATTTGAACTCTTAGTATGCCCTCTAACCCTCGATCTCAACTCTTCCCCTGTTTCCATAGCAACGTTACCGCGGAAAGCAGAATCATCAACTGCTCTCCTCAACATACCTCAGTTTCCGCGACCCCGCCGAGGACGAGGTCATCGTCGGGTCAGAAGAGGTCGAACTGACCGACCTCAAAGCGTCAGCGGGTCTAAAAAGATGCCGGAAAGTATCGCATTCGAACTCGTTTGGTCGCGACGATTCGAGGGACCCTCGGGTGATAATGACCAGGAGCCATTCGGAGGGAAATTTGAAGAAGATTGGGACATCAGGCAGTCACACCAACGTCAATAGGTACATGAAGGTGCTCAGTGGAAGCTGGAGAAACCTCTTGAACTGTAAGTCTATGGAGATGATTTCAAGCCTCAAACCTTGTAAAATATTTCTTCAACCTATGAAACAGATGTAATTACGAAAAAATTCTAAAATGAGATACATATTATTTTTTTTTTTTTTGGACGTTATATGACATGCACGTCACGAAAAACTATGACACTCATTTCCGTCTGTCTGCCTTTCTGTGCTCGTCTTTAACTCGGAAAGTACCGCCAGGATTTAGTTTAGGATTTCACACTATGCAAAGGACGGAAATTAAAATTTTTGTAGATGTTAAAAGTTGGGGATTTTAGAGGTTGGGGAGAATATATCTCAATTTTTGTATGGTAGTATATTTTTCTTTTATATTATATTGCTTGTAAGTAACTTTTTCTCAAAGGGTCTAACTTGTGCTGAACGTTTATGAATTGATGAGGGTGTATTGCGGAAGTACAGAGTCAACATACTTGATGCCATTTTTTCACTGTTTTACAGTATCTGCTACCTGTTCTAGAAGTTGAATTAGTGCAATGGTCGGAGATGAAGTGAAACATAAGGTTAAATGGGTCCCCAAGCACCTGGCGGCATGAGTACGAAGACTGTCTCAAGTCGAAAACATAAAAAAATTATAAAATGACACCTTGATTTATTTTGACTTTACTAAAAACTTATCAGAAATTCGAAAAAGATTGTGAATCAAAATTTAATTTGGGGACAACTTTGTTTTCCGCTCATAACTGCACCATCAAGTAAAAACGTTTACGAATGAATCAATGAAATTGCATATTTCCCATATCCTTAATATATATAATACACAAAAAGTAGATTATATTAAAGAGCAAATAACTCATTAAATTAGAATCGTAATTGCAATGTTTTATTACTAAAAGATCATAAATCCATTTTAAACTTTTAAGCAATTTTAAGTAATAAATTTCTAGATTGTCACATCCAAACCTGTTGCTCAATACCTTCATGTCTGTTCATTGTAAAAAACTTTACAGTCTTGTAGTTAAAAAGTTTCATCGCAACTTACTGATAGTAGATAGATAATAAAATACTTGCATCGTCTCACAAGGAAAAGCCTATATTGGACCTCACAAGATGCAACCCAATAGGTTATGGCCATACGCCAGAGGTAAAATAGTATGACAACTAACAGTTGCAATATTGCTATGTCAGTATTAATGTGTCTAAACAACTTCAATTCGACTCTTGTGAAGCTTGCACTACTGACATTAAAGAAAAAAATGATAACAAATACCTTTATTATAAACTAACGGCGACGTTTGGCCACGGCTACTCTACAGTTTAACTATCCTACAACCGGATATCACAATAACATTAAAATAATAATATGAATCGACGAACAATAACATGTGCAGAGAAAATGAATAAATATTAAATATCATCAAATTAATAATACAGACTAAAAACAGGACATTAGGACGTTAGCTTTAAGTAAGAACGAGCTAAATAAATGATGTTGAAACTCTAGGCTTCAACCAAAGTCTTATTTCATCTTTCCAGGATTTACAATATATTATTAACCGGCTTTTTTTTCTTTCTAGGTAAGTACGAAACTACTCTCACCATGAAATCTGTAAGTAGAACTATGCAAAGTGTTGAAGTGATTTTATTATTTATTTATACACCACTCGATAGCAACAGCAATTTACAGAGTAGGACACAATCCGAACTTCAAAAACACCCAACTATTTCATCTTACAAAGAGTAGGTAGCTTAGACACAAGAAATCTATTTACAAATAACATAGTGTAGACATGAAAAAAATAAGTAGATAAGACCTCGAATAAAAATATCCAATTGTTCAGCAATGCCCTCAGCCTGACCACAAGAGTAAAATAGTGGAGAAAAGTTTGAGATGTTTGTAGGGCTAGCCAAATAAAAAATATCACATTATTTAGAATTTAAACGTGGGACAAGAAAATTATAGTGCATCAATAGCAGTAAAGAAATCTCAAAATGTTCAAAGCAGAAACATTTTAGATCTAAAGAAAACAAGCCACATGCTTGCTTCTACCAGTGCATCCTTGACGGCATGTCGGTCGATTTTTTGGCTCCGATCGAACCTTTTACAGTTCAACTACTTCGTGGAACAAGATATCTTACTCGGACCTGCAGGTGCTTCAAAAAGAGGTGTTTATCTTTCTATAGTAGAAAGTACGTCCAAAAATAAAAATAGTTTCTAAAAAAAGTTGTAAAAAATGTCCCGTTACCAAGGTACAGGGTATTCTAAATTTCTACTTCACTCATGAGACTAAAAAAGGACAAAACATGTATATTGCTCGAATAACACTATGGTGAGAGAGGCTTACTCTGTTACCCACTTTCAATACAATGCAATGTTTATTGTCAAACATTATTTTTAAAGTAGAACAGGATGAAGTTTTTTTACAGATTTTACCTCAAATATACAAACCAATGTTTTTTAAAAAGGAGTAGTCTGACAAAAATGTCTCAAGAGAGTCACAATCCATTTAAAATCGAATAACGTCTCCGAAAATGCAATAATTGTTTCCAAAAAGTTAGTGGCGAAAAAGATAATTTTATTTACCCTTCTGGAGGGGTCGAAAATATAAATTTTTTCGATTTAAAAATTATAACTTCAACACCCTGTACCGTGGTAAGTATTTTGGGACCGATGTTTTCGTTTTAGTTTTTTTTTCTATTTTACGCCCTAGAAATAATGCCACGCTTCTCTGAATAAACCTTTTTTTCTTCATATCCCTTTTCAATTTATTAATTATTCTTAAAAATTGTTCTAATGTTGGTTCAAACATTGCAATCGAAAAAGTTTCTCGTAAAACCATTCAACCAGGTTTCAAGATTTTGATATTGTTATGTCCAACGATGCTCCACTATATTTTCGGACATACTCAGCGAAAATCTAAAGTTCGCCAATTTTGGCCTACCAAACAAAATTTGGACTTAGACTTTATAAACACTGAAAATTACCATTTTTATGCTTTTCCATACATTGAATCATTTATAGCTCGAATACGATCAACCTTAGAGAAAAGTTACTAGGGGTCTCCAAGGGGGCATTTTGCGTGATATCTTGAACTATTGACAGTGTTTTCTGAATCACCCTGTATATCAGTCTCTTTATTTGATAATATGTTGCGTCAGAATCCACTAACTTAACCATCATAGCTAAGAAACTCAAAAAATGTACACAAACCTCGTAACTTAGTCTACCTCTAGACATGTTTGTCATACTTGACTAAGCATTCTCCAATAGACATCACTCGGCACTCGAGCCTATAGGCTTCACGTTAATAAACACAATTTTACAGTGTCACCTGGTTTACGAGCATTTCCACTTCATTTAGTTGAAATAAAGAATAAAATTAATCGGTTGATTAGGTCTTCGGGATGGATATAGTCACAGTCTCACATAATTCTACAAGAAGAATGTGATGCTCAATTAGTTTTATGTTCATTCTAAAAGAAACGGGTAGTCATTTATCGAGTATACCCTAATTATAGAATTAAAAATAAATTTGTTTTGGTTTTCCACAGGCCGTTTAGACTTCGGAAATGTTTACAGGCGAATTCCTGCTTGTCCGCTTTTAGAGTTATTGTATCTGCTACACGACCCTTTTTTCTGCTAAATTATTACTTATTCATGAGGTTTATCGGTACATCTGCCACGCACGAAATGTTTTCTAAATAATTCTGACTTCGTAATAATCACAAGCAATGCATTGAAAAATCATGATATGCCACTTGCTAGGAACTGTTGTAATTACGAAAATTTTAGAAAATCAGGTAATATGTTTTTTGAATGTTATGCGACGTCCACATCAAGCTCCGTTTTTTGACGTTGCAAAGGATCCCGGTCGGTTTCAGAAAAAGTTTTGTAGGGGTTGAAAATTGTGGATTTATCGGACCCATATTGCTATCTATTTTGTAAGTATAACTTTCTCCAAAGGTAAACAGTCCCACCTATTGCATATCTACCTAATTTCAACAGTAATAAATCTTGATTAACACAGTCAAAATGCTTTGCTTAGGTCACAGAAGATCACAACATGTCATGATAGCGACCTGCCTTTTTAAAACTTTGAAATGAAGGACATTCTGCCCATAGCAGCATTTCTCATGGAATTCTATCTATTCTTCTAGCCGACTTAGCTATTACAGATTATCAATTTGGCAAGGCGGAAACATCCGTATAAAATATATCCCCTAACTTCCTGGTTTTCAAAGCGCTGTCTAAGACTTTGAGGATTTTATCCATACGTACTACATACAGCTTCAGGAAGAACGATTAACTGGACAGACATGGAAGTTAAAGTTAATAGGATACAATATTTTTCAATACGAGCCATTTAACAGAAGAGTATGATTTTTTTCAATTAAAAAGAGGCGCTGCAAATAGTGAAATGTCAGTTAGGCCACTATACGTCTCATCAATTAATGTCTAATAAGAAATATAATGACCTCCTTGCTTGATCTAATGTCAAAAATCTCGAGATGAGACTACCGGAAATAAATAAGTTTTATGAAGACTTACCGCATGATAAGGTTTAGGTTTAGTTTTTTATATAAATTTTGAAAACTTTTTATTGTTTATTAGTGTCTTACTTTTATCAATAAAAATTATTATCAAGAACTTTTCTCTCTTCCTGTCTTGGATTATAAATCATTGTGTATGGGTCTTTTCGTCGTATCTTCCATCGCATCCTTTAAGAATTACTTTTGACAACACGAAATGACGTATTTGACTTATCCATTTTTTTTTTCAAAACTTACTCAGCATACAACCATTTTGCTAGCTGCATTTGAAAACTGGTAGATTTGAGTACGATAGGCTCAAAACGTTTTGTGATACACTTTTTATTGTATGGCATACAGATTCTCAAAGAGATCCCTTTTTCTTGTTTTCGCCCTACTGTAAAATTACGGAAATGTCAGTTATGACACTTCGTCTGTTGGGGGACGATTTGACTCGTACATTGTAGAAAGGCTGCAGCGTTATAGCTATCGATTTTTC